AAATGCTGACCACTAATGCACACTTATATCCCTGGGATGTGTATTTGTATTCAAACTGCTTTGTAAATCTGGGTTAATCACTGCAAAATAAACAATAAACACATATCCCGATTGTTATTTTGTGTGACGCAAAAAAAATAAACGTCTTTTCATTTAGTCAGACAACCGTGTGCCTCCAATTTCATGCGAGCGATGTAGAAAATAACGTGCGCCGTGATCCTGCATATGCTTGATAAGATTAACAATCGCATCAAAGGCCCACGGTAACCTCGGCATGAAGCCCAAACACCACGAGCGAGAGCAGGCCGCAATTAATACATCATTATGCACTGCTACAGTTTATAGCCGTGAACACACAACACACAGCACGACCAGCGACCAGCTAGTGTCTGTCTCAATATCTGCGGCATTAGACATGCAGGAATGTTAACATCATTATGCACAATTGTGAATGTCTGTCTGTGCCCTCCCCCTTTTTTTCCCCCTGCCATATTGTGTCTGCAAGTGAGTCTCTGTGTGTGTGTGTGTGTGTGTGTGTGTGTGTGTGTGTGTGTGTGTGTCATGTCTGAAAGATGGCGGCATTATCTAAATATGCTCATTTTATAAGGAAGTTAAAAACAAATGGTATGTATGTATGTCTAAGGGAACCTTTCAGTGTGATGTGGTTAAAACATGTCTACGTTAATGTCAGACATTTTTGATGTGATGCTGCAGAAATTAATTTCATTACAGAAATACATGCCATGTGAAATGAGTTAATTTTTCTTTAAGGTCATATAGCGTTCTTCTACAGAGACAAACCTACAAATAAGTATTGAATCAGAGCTTTGAATTAACCTTAAATTGAACACACACTTGATATTTTCCACTTTACAAATGTCTCACACTCTACAATGCTGTGTTGTATTTTCAAATATGAAAAAATGAGACATCATTTAAGATGAAGTACACTGACAATTGGCTCAAAAAAGGGATCTTTTTGCACTTGCTGTATTAATGCACCTTTGGTAAAGCCCTGATGCTTTAAGGTGAATGTGTTAGTCTTTAGAAAATTAATGGATGGAATGGATTTAGTAAAATAAAACAATATGAGTATACTGTTCTCCCGACGCATTACAGCATTACCTAATCCAGACACTTACTGACCACGCTCATGAAAATGTCACATGTTTGATGAAGTTGCATTTGTAACTGGGAGGGCGAGGAGGTGAGGAAGAGAGGACACATTCATTAGCGCTAGGGTTTGCTAAACCGCTCTGCATTTCTCTGACGCGGCGCAGTCAAAATATTGCATCATCCAAACACAAAAATGCACCGCAATGCTGCAGCCAATGAATCCTTTTGCATTCCCTATGCTGCGCCTCTTGAATTAACACTGCATTTGTGGCATCGTAAGAATTAAATAAACAGATCCCAGCTAAAAAAACAACAACTAATAAATACACACACACACACACTACATATTGTTGTGGCATTGTGGGTAACTAGATCTATCCAGGATGTATCAGAGCAAACTCTGCAAATAATTTTATAAGACTGTGTAGAAGAGATTCAGAATGTGTTTCAAAACCAATATATATTTCTGTTATCTGCCACAACTTAAAGGAAGATTGTCCAGCGAGTGTTGTGTACAAAATCCTTGGCATCCCTCTGCTTATACAAACAGCCCTCCTGCCACCTTGCTGTTCCTAGCTGCCAGCGATTTGCATTCATTTGCATGATTTTTTACGATGTGCATATCCTTTGTTCTGACTGTATGATGATGCAGAAGACACCCTCCCTACGCAGCGCTGTTACACAGCCCGCTGAAAGCTACTTGGATATTAAATATGAAAAAAGAAACTGTAGTTTTATCCCTGTAGTTTTATCTGTTTAATTATAAATTGATAAGACAAGAAGTAGTCAGATACTAGACTGATCATGGCACACCGACGATAATGCGGTGCATCAGAATGAGGGAGTGACTGAGGGGGGAAGATGAATATGTTGTAGATTTGTGGAAATTTTTGAGCAACCGTGGAAAGGACATATTGTGCTATCGCTAAGAGGCATGAGCATCTGCAATATATAGCACAGGGAAAAGATGGCATCCAAGCATGAAATATGGAATAACATGACAAATAGGAAATATGGAAACTAAATCATAGAAAAGAAAGAAGACCATTCACATATATTACAATGTTTTCATAAATAATGTGCCTCTTTCTCTTCAGTCATCATTAATGTTGTTTGCTTCTGTATTACAAGAATTAACCCTTTGTACTTCCTTTTCTTTCTTAACTGTGCCTATACCTTTTCTAACTACAGAATGTTTTAGACACACAGACACACACACACACACACACACACACACACGCACACGCAGACACGCACACGCACACACACACACACACTGCTGACAGTCAGTACTTGTAATCATGCGGGCTCATGCAGACGACTTCATTAATCGCTGTGGGCGAGCACTGATGCTCCACAAGCTGGCCTACAACGCTGAAGGGTTTATATACTCAAATGTTGTGCCACATTATAATACTACTAACAATCAGCTGTACTCCATGTATGCACGTCTGATAAATTATTATGAGTACAGCACAGGAAATATGTACTGTATCTAAATCATTCTGTATTTTCAAAGATTAATTAATAAATGGCAACCACCACAATGCAAAAATGGAGGGTGCAAATATATATTTTTTTGTGTCCGAGCAAAGACAAATAATAATCATGATAATAGAATACTACATTTTGGATCAGATGGAAAAGAGAGAGAGGAGAATATACCCCCAAAATAGAGTCCTTGTCCTCATTTCAAGTGGGAACATTTCCTGATATTGTCAAAGTACATCTAAATCTGCAAAGATGAAAAGCTGTCCTGGTTTCCTGTTTCAACTTTAAAACCTCGACCCTGACATATTCTGCACACAGAATGTGTGTGTGTGTGTGTGTGTGTGTGTGTGTGTGTGTGTGTGTGTGTGTGTGTGTGTGTGTGTGTGTGTGTGTGTGTGTGTGTGTGTGTGTGTGTCTGTTCCTTTTTAAAAAAGGCCTATACATTTCTAACTGAATAATGCAAAGTCACATATAGGGGTCCGCTGACCCTAGTACACTTTACAGGCTTTTAGCAGACAGAGTAAGGTCTGTGTGATGTGAAAGTTCAGTCCGTGTAGAAAAAATGGTTTAGAAGATGCCGCACAGATGTTGTATTTACTCTATCATGTTGGATCTTAGAGTGAAAAGATTTATTATTATAAGTCGAAAGGCAGCTTTCTCTTTCTGTTCAGGGAAGTGGTTGGTGTTTAAAGCTGTTGACCCACCTCTACAACTTCCTCTTTAACAAATGGCTGACTTCAATTGAACCCTTAAATATTTTGATTAAATAAAAACAGTGATCCTGTCTTTTTTTTTTTGCTTACATGCTAAGCTTGGGTTTTCTTTAAATAACAATACCAAGGTTCAAGTGGGAAGATGTTCCATTTGTAGCAGTGCTGTGGTGCCAAAAGCTTTAACTACTTACAAAGAGGTACTTTGTGTAAATTTAAAGTAGAGTTTGCTGGTTGTTATCTCTCGGGAGTAAAGTCCATATAGATACAGACTTGAGCACTGACTTTTCCCTTCCCAGTGACTTGCCCTGCCCTTTTAATTGGCCCTTCTGAGCAGCACACCCACAAGTGTGAGTACTGGGAGTAATTAGGACGAGTAACACCACCGCACAGTGAGGCCCATGGGCGCTGACATACCACCTCTTCCCTTCAGCCACTTATTTTTTCTGTCTTAGCATCTCCATGAGATAAACTTTTGACTCTGGGAAACTCTCAACACAGAAGATTTAGTGTCACTCAGATGTTTCCACCTCAATTCATTCTTTTATACCAAAGTTCCCATATCATTTTATTCCATCATTCCAAAAGCATGGCATACCAAGCGCTGTTGTATATATTCTGCTGAGCACAACCGTTGTCAATAACTTCAGCGAGCGAGGTTTTGGATATAAGTTTAGCAAACTAACATCCTAGATTTTCACACTACTTCAGCCTTGTGAGTTGTCGTCTCCTCTTAAGAAAATTGGGGTCAAAGTGGAAATACAGAAGGCACAGATCGTGATCAGATGCTGCAGCCTGCTGATATAATACATAATTCCTTGTCATGAGAGCAAACTCTGCTCATTAAAATTTTTGTCCATCTTCAATAACATAAAATGTCACATTTAATAATGGCTGAAGGTCTAATTAACGGAGCAAGAGGTTCTGCACGCAATGCAAACAAAAGTCAGGGCTCAGGCCAATTAGTACGACTTTGTGGGTTTCAATGGCTAGTGGACATTTTTTTTAAATCACTCCACTGTTGTAGTTACTGTAGTTGTGTGTATTTTGTGTTGTTGTTGTGATGATGAACAGTGAACAGTAACCTCTGTTTCCCCTGTGCTTCTTGTCTTTGGTTTGGACCACAGGGCAAAGAATGGGTCATGGGATTTGATATTGCCCACGATCACATCGCCTGAGCTGCCTTCAAACTGCTGTTATTCTGTTTACTGTGTCCTCTGGACCACTACTAACATCTATGCCTTCATCCAACACACACACACACACACACACACACACACACACACACACACACACAGGCTAACTTTGCTGCAGGCAAACAGACACACACTCACACATCAGCAGAGATAGACACACAGGAGGAAAAAACACTCAAATCAAACTCCTGCCTACAATGAAATGTGGCTGAATTTTACCAAATTATCAATACTTTGTATTTATATTTCTTAAATGAATATTAGATAAATATCAAAACCATGTCAAGAGCAAATAAGTCAAGAACTAAGTGATTTTGGAATCTGAAATAATGAAGCTATAATTTTAAGAGCTAAAATAAAAAAAATAAAATAGTGTGGCAGGGAAATATCTCAAATTGTATTTTACACGCCAACACATTAAGTCTATAAAGGCTATAACTGTATACACATATAGACACACACATTTTCTTTTTGAACCCAGGTTTACCTCATGTGGGTCCATTGGAGAGCAAAATCCCAGAGATCTGGTGTTGACCTCTGCTTCCTGCTGCCAGCAGTTCTCCACAGCTCCTCTTCCCCATCACTGCAGCAAAGAGAAACACACGTACACACACATGAGTAGGGAGTGACTACGATTACCAAGTGGTAACCTATACATGCTGAATAACTCTTCATGAGCAAAACACAATTTACATATTTACACTCAAAAGACAGAAGAGTTAGGTAAATACATACTAAAAGAAGGAAACAGAGGCAACATTTACCACAGCTGAAGTATACTGGCAGGGGTTTAAATTTGCAATAACTTTTTGCAAATGTCGTCTCAACCTCTTCGATTTAGCACATACACAAAAGTGAAAACGTGGGACCTTTATGGCACATGAGAAGCTGCTCTACAGATCATGTAAAGGTCACAGGGGAGATGTTGTTTCTCACTTCAAATAAATATAAAATGTAGTTTAAATTAGAAACTTGAAGTTTTATTTTTAAAATCTTGATGCTGAAATACCTCACATTAAACTGTTAATTCTAGTTTAAGCACTACGGTCTTCAAGGTGTATTCTGTTGTATGGTAATGCTGATTTAGCAGCCGTGCTGTTGAACCCGGCCACCCCTGACGCAGGCCTCCTCTCACTGGAGTGAGGAGGTCAAATGTCAAGGCTAAAGGACAAGTCCATTAGGGGTCAAAGGTAAGCATTATAAATTGTCGCAGTCAATGGTTGGTTTGGCACCTAATGTTTGACCTTGCACAGCCACATGCCGATGGACTTCTATAACCTATAAGCATGTAGTATTTTTCCAATCATATCCAAATTACAGTAAAAAAAAAAAAAGGTCAGATGTCAAAGATGCTGTGGATAAGATACGCAAAAAATGCTCCTTTGCTAATTCAGTGAACGTTTTTTCTCTTTTGTAAGGTTGTGAAGGCTGCCTTTTTTTCCTTTTTTGTGAAGTTTAAAAGGGTTAACTTTATAAGCATAATTAAAAAATACGTCTCCTGATAGACTCAGAAGGAGAATATACAGTACACAGGAGTATAAAGAGTTTACTGTAATGTCTTTCTTCTGGATCTCATGCTGTGTTCCCGAATGATCGTGAGCCTCTTCTGGCATGTCAATATCAAACTGACAGATGCCACATTTTATTAGAGCTGCATGTCAAAGTGTACACACACACACACACACACACACACACACACACACACACACACACACACACACACACACACACACTAACCCAACACACACGTGTGCATAGCTACACATTTGTACTTGCACTGAAACCCACACTGACAGGTTGCATAGCAAGACACAAAACACAAAACACTCATTTTTGTATTTAGTTCTGAATTTTATTGATCTTTTTTAATTACTCTTTTACAAAAATAACATTAACATAAAGATCCTAAGAAAAAATCATTAATGTTAGAAAATATTAACTTATAAAAGCAATGAAAAATGGAGTACTAAGAAGCAGCAATAAAAACAATTATTAACACTGGGTGTATTGTCTTACTCCCCTATGCAGTGTTTAACACTAGTCTGAGAGGGTTTGTGGTTTGTGAGGCAAACCATAGTGTGAATGTGTGTGTGTACATGTATGTGTGTTTGTTTCCAGCCCTACGGCAAGGTTTTAGGGTAACTATACAGCCCCCTCCCCTCCACCTTCAGCCCATTCCCTTTGCGGCTTGTGTGGCTTGTCTCATCCCATCTCCCTCCTGCTCCTCTATCTCCCTCCACTCCCCTCTCCTCACCACTATTCTGCTCCTAGCCTACATGTGTGTGTGGGTGGGTGGGTGGGGGGAAGGGGGGGGGGGGGTTAAGGGTTGGCAACCAAAGTGTCAAGACACAACCCCAGTGTTAAAGCAGGTGATTATAAATATAATGTAAATGTATATGTATCACACATAATCACACACACACACACACACAGGTGTGATACATGATTGATGGGACATAAACATGGATCTTTTATCGAGTGGAAAATAGGAAATATGCCTTTGTGCCTTGCACTGATCTGAAGCAGTTGAAGACATGTAAAATTGTTAAAACTCTACATCTAGCTTGTATTGCTGCACAGCTGTGTTGTGTGACTCCTCAACAATTGCACCTGCTTATGTGACAAAAAAGAAGTCGTCATAGAACAAAAGCATTTCCTACACGAGAGGTGTGTCTACTCTCCACCCCGGTGGCTTCCAGCGTTTCATTATCCAAAGTCGAGGTCTGCTTTGCCACCCATCTCCCCCATGCTGCCTGTCTCATTTCCTCCCGGTAACAATCCATTAGCCAACGCCGGGCTCCAACATGCACACGCTTAATTATTTGCACTTCTTTGGCAGCACACCAAGGCGTCCCACTCATCGGAGGAGATGGGGATAATGGTAGGGAAACAACTGGTGTCCTATGTATACGTATGCGTTATAAAATACACAACATGCTCTCTTGTGTAGGGACAGCCAACTCACACGGACAAAATATCCACCTATAAAAAACACACTTCTAGTATATACTGACAAACACGGCAGTAAACCTGATCTACATATGAACAAATCAACAACCCATTGAAACCAAAACTCTAATACCTCTGATAATGTATCTTTTTAAACTGATACACACATACACTATGCATCAAAAGAAATGGGGATGATGTGTGTTATAATTCATCTTGAATAATTTCCTGCACATTCTTCTTCATGCTCTGCCTCAGGAGCACTTCAGGATGAAAGGAATGCTAATTCTGTTTCTGTATCTCACTGAAAAATGTGTGTGTGTGAGTGTGTATGTGTCGCCTCACTAAGCACATTTATGATAATTAACAGATAGGGGAGGTCAGCAACGGTGTGTGTGTGTGTGTGTGTGTGTGTGTGTGTGTGTGTGTGTGTGTGTGTGTGTGTGTGTGTGTGTGTGTGACAGTAAGAATGAGTTAGAGAGAAGGAGACCGAAAATGAGGGGGAAACAGTAAAGCGCTGATTTACATAAATTGGAACTACTGTTGCCGACTCCCTTTCTCTGCTATGTGGCATTCGTATTGTATTAACATTTTTACTGTTACAGTTTTAAGAAAGGCATCATCTCACACAAAAGTTCTAAAGATAACTAACACACACTAAAAAGCTGCACGTTAGCCTTTAAGATTTCAAGTAATTACACTTGTACATTTGTGTAATGTACAATGTGCTTGATACATTTCAATTACATGTGGAACATACAAAATGACGAGCTCTTCAAGTAAAAACGTCATATAAAATTATAAATATACTTCAATGACTTGAAATGTTTTTAAATTAAAATGCATTACGTCCCATTACAATGTTTTGCTAAATCAAGCTGAAAACAATTCAGGCTTCTGGCTCTAGGGCTGAAAATGAGTAAATGTTGTTAATTGGGTTCTTATATTTTAAGAACACACCTGATTTCTACTGTCGACTATTTGCACCTGTACCCTACAAACGGCGTGCAATACAAAGCTAAACACAGGCCGAACTCGTAGGCGACAGTAATCGAGGGAATTAATACATGGAAATGAAATGCTCAGCATGCATAGCAGCCGATGACAGTAATTGAATAATTGACTTTCAGAGCTCTGTGTTCCTGTCCACACAGCAAGAAGAAATGTGTATGCGTTAATATCTATGCGTGTGCGTGTCTATGCCAGCGGACATTTTAGGTCTACCCTCCTCACACTCTCACTACTGCCAAACGCCTTAAGATGGTGGCACCTTGAGGCAGAGAGAGACACTCGTAGAGAAAGTCAACCTCCTCCTCCCTTTCCTCCTTCTTCTTCCACCTCGGGTCCTCAACGACAACACAGGACAGGCCCCCCTTCCTAACCCTTAGCCCCCCTAATAAATATTTAATTCACCCCTCTCTAATAAGGATATTAGGCGAGTACACCCCAGCCTTGGCGTATATGCATGAGTCCTTTCTCATCAAATTTACATAAAAGGGCCAGATGCTAATGCGAGCGTAGCAACTACTGCTCACTATTCTATATGCGCTGGTACTGGCTCTCCAGTCCGAGAGCCCATATAATTTAATTGCCGACCAGCATATATTTTTCAAATGGTTCCCCCGTATTCAAATTGCTCTGAGTCCTCGGTACCATATGCTTTACAAAGTGTGCAAAGACGGGCATATTTTAATTGTAGTGGCTGCCTGACCACAGTATTTATGATTACTTAATGGAGTCTGAAGCCCCTCCCCTTTTATGCAAAACGACCTACTACAGGCGCGTTTATGCATAATAAAAAAGAAAAATAATCTGCATGTGAAGACCATGAATATGGTACGGTACGTTCTGTTTCACATAAGTCAAAGCTTTTTGAAATTATCATTCAAATACAAAAAAAAATGCCACTGAAATTTTACAAAACTGCATTAATCTGATATAATTAATATATTTCTATATATAAAGAATACTCGTAGAACATGAGGAGGAAAAAAACAGTAAGAGGCAATTATCATCATAATTTAGAAATGGGTACCTTCATACTGACAGATCATGAAAGTACTTACAGTTAAAATGTGGAAAAAAAACAACTTTCAGACCACTTAAATGTAAAGCATAGCATATGCTACAAGCCGCTCAATGTTTGTAACTAATAGAGGATGAATAATGCAGTGACACGAGATATATTATTTACACCCTTTCATCTTTGAGGAAGATTCAAAGAATATTTCAGATGCAATTATACTAATTTATTTATAGTGCATAGTATTTGCATAATCAAAAGCCAGTGGAGCACAGATATCCTAGAGGACACACTGCAGCAGCGTTTTACATGTAGTACGAGAATAGCATTTTAGCACACAGCCATATTGTGCACTGCTGCTGACAGTGTGTTAATACCTTATCACGCAGCAACATAGCTCTAAGTATAATGTACTGGTTGGAAACATGATTATCAGTGACATTAAAGGAGCAGAGGGTGAAAATAAATATACGTGGCAATTTGATGACATTATTGATTTAGTACCATTTTTTATTAAGATAAGAATTAAAAGCAAGTATCATCATGTGATATTATCCCAGAATCTGAAACTCAGGGGTTCTACAACCATCATGGTCAGCTCACACAGCACT